GGAATATTGGTTTAAGCAGGGTTTTTAAGCCTACTTGTCTGTTTTCCAGTGGAATTTTCAGGTGACATAGAGTCACAGGTTTTCTATTAGAATTGTATTGTCTAAAAAGATACAGCATAGAAGGAGATAAACAGCTAAAAAAGAAGCGACTTACTGGGAATTACTTGAAGGAAAAATTTAATTTGGCTTAAGGAACAGAGCCTGTCCCAGGTTTTCCAAAACCGTTTGCCTCTTCATTTGCAGAATTAAGTTAGTTGCAAGAAGCATTTGAGCTAAGAATCATTAACCCAGATTTTCTGATTATCAGCTTTCGAAATAATTACTGATTTTAATGATTTAACTACATTGAATTGTTCTCAAAATGAGGTAAAGATGCCTTATTTTTTGCCAAGTTAGGCGCTGTTCTAAAAGGGAGAGCAATGAAAAGCACCTTAGGGAGATGTAGGTAGTGCTATTCCTGCTCCTGTGTCTTCTGTAGCATTGGACATTTGCTTGTGTCTGCTTTCTAGAATATGTTTTGATCCCAGCTTGCATTTGGAATTCTAAAAGTGTTGCCAAGGGCCAGACCAGAGTGCCTGTGCAATATTGCAAGGACCAGGCCCATGGCTGGGCCAGGCTGGATGCAACACACACAAGTCAAGTCGTAGTTTGCTTCTATGCTAAGAACAACTAGAGATGAAGAGCCTGAAAGCTCGTGGATGATATTTGCTTGAAAAAAAATACATATAGCATGTATATGTATATTATTATTTTAATCCTTTTAATGTTATTTGTGGTTGCAAGCCAAAATTAGCATCTCTGCTTATTATCACTCACGTAAGAGGCAGCAATTAGGTGGTGATTTGATTTAGTGATTCCTCTACTTCTATGATAGCATATAGATTTGCATAAGGCAACAATGCAGCTGATAAAATGTATTTAAATACCTGTTTGATGGATATTGAAAATAGAAACTATTTTTGATGACTTTGTACTCAGCTGTGCATCATGAGTGTCTTGTGTGTTAATGAAAAAAACTAATATTTAACCCATTTTCTAATAGTAACTTGATTTACAATTAAGAAAAAATACTGTTTAGGTGCACAGATAGCATCTGTGTGTGTAAAAGAGAGATGTGCTACATTTTTATTAATAGTGTTGAGCAGTTCATTGTTATGAAGCTTAAACACCTCCTCATATAAAGCTTCCTTATTCTGATAAAAGAAATCAGATAATAGCTTCTTCATGCCCCTACTCATAATAGTGAACATTATACTTGGTAATAGTTAAAAGATAAGCTCTGTAACTGCTCTACTGACGTTTTGCCTCCTTAAGATGGTTGTGTCCTGCTCCTTGGCAGAGTACTTGAAGTCTAGTTTCTCTGACTACTCTGTTGCTTTTGGGACTTGAGAATCTGTATAAAATCTATATAACATCTCTATATACCAAAAGCATCAATAAAGCTGTGGCAAAATAAATAATTCAAGCCAGTGGACTGGACACTTGTATACAAGAATCTTCAAGGAACTACCTGAGGAGCACGCAGAGCGCTTGTTAATTTTTTAAGACATCTTGAAGATGCTAAGGTCATTCCTATGCAAGAAGAATGCAAGTTATTGGTCTAGAAAGAGAAATGGTTGAGATGGTTTTCAGATCTGGATTTAGAGATTGGAAAGCCAGCTGCTCAGTGTGCCTAGTAAATGGCATTTAAAGAAAGAAGATTGATATAGATAATATTCTTTTAACAGCATTCCATTTTCAAATTTTAACTTAAATACAGTGGAACTATTCTTTCCTGTTTTAACTTTTTATCATCTGAAATATCTTGTATTGGGTAAGTAACTGCTGTTGAATTCTACAGACTTCAATACCACAGTTTGAATTTATCTTCACTTCCACTACTTTAAATAAATAATTAAGTTCTAAATGCAATTTTTTAAACTTAATTGGCCTTTCAAAGATTAATGGAAAAAATTATCTTTTGTTCTGCATAGTTCAGATACTAAAGCAATCTTTTTTCTTTATGAAGTCATTTTTAGTCCAGGAGGAGACATCATTACTTGCAGGTCTCTTGAGCTACTTTATTTTTTTATGCTTTACTGAAATATATCAAATATAGATTGCAGTTCTAAAGCAGTGAAATAATTAGAAATAAACAGGAGATAGTGTTAATTTGGATTACTTTTCTTCCTCACTTTCATCTAGTGCTATGTGTTTATTTTATAAGAGATTTGATTCTTGAGGTTCCCTCTAGGCTGTGAATTACTGTATACTGGGACATGATTGCTCTGCTGTTTTGCTCTGTTGTTTTTGTATCAAATGAGTAACTTTGAATCCTCTTTCTGCTTTTAACCCTTGTTTGTCAAATATGTTGTCACATCAAATTTTGTGGCATTAGAGGAGCTGAGGACATGGTAAACATGATTCCTGAAGGAGAGGACGGGAGAGGGGTAGGACTGGCTACGAAATTGTTTTTATATCACACAGTGTTTTTGTGCAAATACCTTCATGATTTAGTTGAAAACTCTCCCTGGAGAAAATTTGGAGAGCTCCTTGCAAGGTAGAGGAGGTCAAAATGAAGCCCTGTGTCCATCCAGGGGTTGACCTCTCACTGGGGAGACACATCTGTTGAGATGGGAGAAATGGTCACATTGGAAGGGGGGTGGGAAGGTGGGTTGTGATGAGCAACTGGTTTAGGCAAAGATGCTTATTTTTTGGGTTGATTTTTATGGGAAGCCTTCCCATTTACTGCACATTGCCAGACTGAGCATTAAATCCTGAAGAAACATCATAGACACCAGAGACAAAACTCAGTGTAGTTTCAGCAGAAGCAGAATCCTGAGTGTGAAAGGCATCTGTGTTTAGGAAAAAGAGCTAGAATTAAATTTTACCCTGATTTACCTCAAGTGTCACTGTAGTCTTGTAGAAGTTTCCTTATCTCAGCTGCTCCCTTACATTCTGCCCACAACTGAATTTGTAATATTGTGTTACTGCTTGTCCAAAGTGATAGTTTTTTCTCCACAAGTCTCTCTTTCTCAGATCTCTTTGCTTTCTAGCACACAAGGACACCACTGGGATTATTTTGTGATACCTTTTCATGTAATACGAGGTGTCTCTTGGCTAAATATACTCTATACAGTATAAAAATAAAGCAAGTTTTTTTTTTTTAAAAAAAAAAAAAGTAAAAAAAAATCCAACTATATTCCCCAAAGCAGATGTGGATCTGGGGGAAAAAAGTGCTTCAATGAATATTTAATTTCCATCAGGGAGAAAAATTACCATTTGCCAGTAATGCCCCATTAAAGGAAGAATGTCATGTGAATATCTTCAGCTAAATCTTAAATATTGTTAGGCTCAAATGTTTTTCTAATATATCATTCACAGAGAGAAGTGTGGCACAGGTAATCGATGAGCAGTTTTACGGGTCTGCTGGAAGATGGGGTTTGACCGCTCAGAAAAGAAAATAATTTGTTAGAATACAAATGTTGGTAATGAACAATGAGAATTTAAGCTGTACTGCATATATAGTGCAAGTCAAGCGTGGATTTGCATCAGGTCCTTTAGAAAGGCTGAAATGATGGAGTGATATTCCAGTTGCATCTCTGTCTTCTGTGTGTGCTGCCCGTGCAAAATCCTGGAAGTTCAACTTGGCATTTGCCAACTTAAGTCATATTTATGCACTGATAGGAAATGGCGATATAGACATGTTTTCTTACCTACATTTTTTTTTTAATCCACTGTAGAGATTATATCCAGGTGTTTTCCATTACACTCTTCATTTCTAACATGATTTCTGCAGTTTCAGTGACAGGCATTTGAGAGTTTGTTTTAGCTTTTGCATGCAGCCGGCGTTTGATGGCCTTTGCATGTAAATGAAGAAATTGCAATGATTTCTTGCTACAGCAAAAAAAAAAAAAAAAAAAAAGAAAAGAAAGAAAATGCAAACAGCCCTTAGAGAGGCATAGATTAATTCTGCTGAGTCTTTCAGGAGATTTTTAAATGTGAAGATCAGCAAAGATGTTGTCTTCAGAGGAGGCAGCTTGCAGACTCGGTAATTACGACACCATCGTCTCGGCACAGCATTTGTCCCTTTTAATGACAAAAGTGTCCGTGGAATATTAACAGCTTCTCCTGAGATGTCACTTTTTGCTCCGGGTGAAGAATGAGCTGCCTCTTCAAATTCATCTTTTCAAAGCAAACTTTATGAGCTCTGCATCATTCCTTGCACTTATAATTGTTTTGTGTCTTTCTCCTGTTTCTGTTTGGGTCAAAGTCCTCTTAAATGAGTCTTAATTATGCAAAACCTGCCTAGTTTGGTGGGGTTTTAAAGCATTTTCCTGTTAGTTTCCATTACTGGCCTTTTCCTCTTGGGAAGGCCTGTGGAAAATGTTTTCCTCTTTGAAATAGGTGGAAATAGAGAAAAAGAGTGATGGTAACCCTGCTGTATAATGTGGAATTGCCTTCTCATCCCTCCTCTTTGACTGTAGTTGCACTCCACCAGGGTTTTTTTTCAGTATTGTTTTCTTGGTCTTCTGTTTTCCCTAAGTGCAAAATTGTCTCAGAAGCAATGTATTTTTAGTCTTCATTAATTACTAGTGTTTCAGCCAATTCAAGAAACAAGAAGTGTTTTGGCAGCACAGTACATTAGATGTGCTGCAGCTTAGTAAAGAGCCTCAGGAACATTTAGATGCCAAAAGGAAAAGCAGATGAATCTCCATAGAGCCACAATGAGGTCAGTTGGTCACAACTGCAGAACAGATATTTTGCACGCTGCTCATCAAGGCATTAAAATGTTGATTGATGCCTGTTCTTCTTACCAAAACAGGACCTTTAGCTTCTGTTTTTGGTAGGGTTCATTGTATGGATCTTATGTCATTACTTTTTGGACATTGAGTCCAATCCCTTATCACCTTGTAGTACTCAGTTTCCCAGTGGTCTACAGAGGTTTCTGCAGAAGTCATCTCTTTAAAGTTGTTACAGTGAAAATTATTTTCTCTTTGTTTCTTTTCCTTATTCTCCAGCATGGCTATCCAAGTGGACAAGTTCAGCTTTGAGAGTTTCCCAGAGTCTCCTACCGACGGGTCCCAGTTTGCGAACGCCAAGCAGCTGGAAGAGGAAAGGCAGCAGGCTAAAGGTCTGGAGATTAACAGCAAGCTGGATATTTGCTGGAAAATTATATCCTTTCATGAATACTCACTTTAAAAATGTATAAATAGGTGCGCTGTGACACATTTTATTTTATAATTCAACTCACTGTATAGCAGTGGTACTGAAAAGTAATTAGAACTATGAAGCTTATCATAATTATAGACTGTTTAAGGTTAATTGTGCTGTATATTATTTAGATGATGTTTGGGTTTTACTGTAATGGCTTTTTCCGAGTCACTGAGCCTGCTCAAGCCCTGTGTATTTTTCACAACTTTTAGGGAACTGAAGAACTATAGTGAGGATTGATGAGTAGCAGTTTTACAGGGTCAATTTTTTCTCTTCTTCCCTCTGTTATATGAGTGAACTGGACCCAGAAAATATATGTTAAATGATTTATAGAGCTTTCATAAATTTAATTCTATTTGAACAAATCAGAGCAAATTAGAAATATTTACATCCAATTCTTTACAGGTTTAGTAATGTATCTGAATTAGGCAGCCTATTTAAGGCTTAAGAAAGAGTACAGTGATGACTTCAGTCATTAAAATCTTAAACATAACCCCCTGCAAATCATTCCAAGTGCAATAAAATATTGCCTCATTATTATTAATTAAGGAAGTGCAATAAGAAGATTGCATATACATGCACTCAGCAATTAAAATAAACTACCTGTTTTGATAAAAATTCTTGTGCGAGGTTACGTAAAGCACCTTTTCCATGATTGTCAATAAGGAGAACTTGTGCGCACCCCACCAAGCTGGATGTTGTTTATACGGCGTCTTTCAGGAGGTTTGTTTTTTTTTTCCACTTAAACCGTACTCAAATTTGTGTGATTGTAAGCGGTATGAAATGAGAGAAGAGTGCAAGAAAATCATGATGTATCTTTTGAGACGCTTTTTTGGGCTTTTAATTGTACTTTTATCTAGTGATCTGAAATGATGCTTCATTACTAAGTATTAAAACAACATGAAGCTATACATGGTTAGTCAAAGGCAAGACGTGAAATATAAATGAAGTTCCTCGTGCCTGGTTCCAGCCATGTTCCCTAGGCAGCATTTCGAAAAGAATTTCACTTAGGCAAAGATGTCAATATTTAACCAGAACTCACTTAGCAAATTTCTCTTTTATAGAAAGATATAAATATTCTTTGATGGCAGAGCTGAATTCTGATGCTGGAATTGAATACATAGCTGTAATAATTTTATCAGTATGTAAAAATACATCCTCATTCAGTTTTGTTGCTGAGCAACACTGTTAACATCCGTTTTGTATTCTGTATTTAAACCAAATTTTGCTACCAAAATGATCATGGCTGCTTTGTAAGTCAGTGTCTAAGAAAACTGATAGCAATTCATGAATTTTATCTGCTAAATTCAATGCAAGAATTAGTTTCTAAGTTTCTAAGATTTTTTAATGAATGTTTTCTTTGTAACTAGAACTAAAACTAAACTGTAATATAAAGCAACGAAGTGTGTGTGGGTGTGGGTGTGAAAATTATTGAAGAAACTTGTAAATTGTTTTCTAGATTTTATCCCAAATGAAAATAGTCTTTTGCTTCCTTTCATTCCTTATAATTTAGATTTCAGCATTTAAAAAAAAAAAAACAAACTATTCTCGATTCCACAACTTTTATTTTCACAAAACTTTGAGAAAGTCTTCATTTCTGAGCCATCCATCCTTCTGCCAAAGGAATTTGAAGTTAGCAAGCAGGGTTTATTTCAGAAAGAATAGTGGACAGCTTAAATGTGTAAACTTTTTTTTTTTTTTCCTAAAGAATCATTATAAATGCAGCCAAGAGATAAAAACTATTTATTTGCAAAAATACTACGTTATGTTTCTGCATATATTCCTTACCAGAGAAGGCATTTTTGCAAAACTTTTGCTGTCGTCAAACTGCTTTGAGCTCTGCAGCTAACCTTTCTATGTCAATATACCTCTGTACGTGAGAGGAGTGTAGATTTTGGAGCACAGTTCGAACAGTTTTTTTTACAAGCAATCATATTTTATTTATAAGGGAAGGGATATATTATTTAGTTTTTTAGAAATAAACAGAAACTCAAGTATGTTTCCATCAATGCAATAAAATGGAAAAATGAGTTGTCACGGTGGGGATTTATGAGAGATTCAGTGTTCATAAGTAAGCAAAGAAAAGTTGATGAACATGTTTTCAGTGTCGGGAGGCCAAAGCCTATTTTTACTCTTAAAATATAATTGGGTATATGGTAGGAACAGTAAAGAAAAAGAAGAATTCAGTTTTCCAAACCTTTTAAGCAAGCCTTTTGTGTTGAGATGAATTACACTATCTTATTTATACTTTATGAAATCATCAGGCAAAAAAGGTTTCAAATTTTAACTGGATGGATGACATTGACTGCCATAAAAGTCAGTTATTTAGGACTCCTTGGAGGACCAAATATAGTCCATAAATGATAACTTGGTAAATATCAGGTTACTCCTTCCAGTATGGTAAGTACATTTTCCATGGTTTTATCCACTGAAATAATCAGGGCTTCAAATGATGAGGTTTTCAATGTTTCATTTGCAAAAATGTAGTGAAGTGTGGGAGTTTCTTTTATACCTTTGAGGGATGGGATGCTGGAGCTAGGTGACACAGTCTGCTGTTCCATTCAGTCTTTGGACATGTCTGACAAAATGGAAGTTATTAGGAAAATAGACCATCTTCTGAGAAAACTTACTGCCATGCCTTTTCAATTAAAAAGAAACCGTGGAGTAATTTAATTTAGAGTATCATTGAGATTATATGTGCATTGAGATAATTTAAATTAAGAACACACTGTCTTGTTTTTTAGCATCTGGTAAGTGGCATCTGGTAGCAGCTTAAAAACCAGGGTTTGTTGTCTTAACACAGTCTTCGAACAGATGGAGCCCATGTACTATTAAGGTGGCTAATATTTCAACTTATGCTTCTCTTTATATTTTCTAAATATTTTAAAACAAAATTCATATTTTTCTCCAGGAACTTCTATGCATTCTGACTTGTGGATCAAGGCATCTGTGCTAAGCATCTTTTAAAATTTCTAGACTGCTGTTTACTGCAGAGTTTTCTAAGATTTGCATCTTTATAATGATACCTGAGCTTTGACTTCTCCAGCTCTTCTTGAAGGTGCGTACTGAAAACATGGGAGGCGACTGTAGCAAGTTTCAGCCAAATAAATGCCAGCCAGGTACTAAGGAAAATCCTTTTCACCATGAGGATAGTCAAACAGGAGAACAGGTTGCCCAGGAGTGCTGCAAAATTTATATCTTTGACGATATTTAAAACTTGTGGACATGGCTCCAAGCGCCCTGTTGTAAGTTTGACATTTTCCCTGCTTTGAGCAGCAGGTTGGGTATTGACCTGCAGAGTGGCCTTCCAATATAAATTATTCTGTATTTTATGCAATCTCACAGTGAGATGGGTTAGAGAACAAGTTTTTTTTTCCCGCTCTCCTACTCTCTCCAGGTTTGATTTCACTTGGAGAAATTTTCTAATCTGCTTCCCAGATCAAATAAGAATTGCTATTTCAGTGAAATGAGACTGTAATGTCTGGGAGAACATTTTAAGCTCGGCCCAAATAGCCTTTAAAGATGAACGTTCCACTGCTGATTTAAATATCATGTTCCATATTAATTTTTCTAACTTTTTTTTTCTTACTTCAGCATTAATTTTAGCGATGTGTTTGAGCCTGTCGTACTTGCAGTGTTTCTTACATTCCAGAAATTGTATTCGGCATCGCTTCCTCTAGTTTAGGCTTTTTATATTTAAAGCCAAATGTCAGCTTTTCTTCAAGCTGTATTTTCTTTCATTCATGTCAGTAATACTGCTATATTCTTGGTGCATGCAATACAAAGCTGGATTATTTCAGGTGAGGCTTCTCATGGAATCAAAGATTTACCTTCTGGATGTCAAATGTGATACATACTCCAAGAGCTGTCTTCTTTCAAAAGTGTCCCATGTTGGTACCAATCGATATTTTACATATGGTTCAACGTAACTATATGTGTTAGTCAATTATTCCCAGCCTCCATTTCAAAAATCAAATTCCCTGATTTCTTCCTGATGCTTGGAGCTTTTCTTCATTGATTTTCATCTAATTTATCTGAGTCAGTTGCACTAGTTTATTAAGTTTCTGAGTTACAGATGCCCAGATTTTATGGATTTTGTTTCGTCATCTAAAGGACAAATCAAAATATTAAAAAGATTAGGTATTTTGTAGCACCTTGGCTTATGCTATTTGATATGCTGCCTGGGCCTGAGAGCAAAGCATTGATAATTATTATTGAAATTTGCTTTTGTGATCATTTGTCTGATCAGCTTTTGATGATTATTATCATGATTGTAATTATGAACCCCAGTTATGAAAATAATGCATATTGTGATACTTTTGTACATCAGAAAACGTTTCCTTAGATATATTGCAGTTGGAGTGAGCTTTACATCTCCATGCAGCAATCAACATTTGTTTGCAATAGTAACACTTCTGTAAGAACCTTAATAACTCAGTGCAATTAGTTTTAATAATGAAGAACCACAAAAATAATCAAGCCGAAAACTTAAAATATGACAAGGCTATTGGCATAAGTAAAGTGTGGTTGTTAATCATTTAAATTTGTTTTTCATTTGTGTAAATTTTATTTATGAACATTTCCTAATTTGTTTATGTCAGTGTGGTTCCTTCCACGTGTAATTTATTTGCAGAGCAACGGAGAAATATGTTCCTGAAAATGAATTTTAGAAGGATGCAAGAGGTGGAGTGTTGCTCAGCAGGGAGAAAAAAAACCCAGCAATTTTAAGATAAAATCTTTTTGAAAAAAAAAATCAACTGTTTCATTCCAGGCTGATGCATCCGATGCATATGGATGTGTAATAATAAAGATCATGTGAGAGGAGCTGAGCCCCAGGTCCCTAAAGACGTTTAAGCATCTGACAGAAATGGAATGTCATTTTTTTAAATCACATTGAAAGTACAGGAAAATGGAGGTTTATTTAAGTGAATGTATTTTGCAAGGTCCAACTTCATGCTGGCAGTTTGTGCTTCTGTCTACCTGTGCAGTTTTTTCCAATGAATTTGAAATTCTAGATCTTGCAGTTTTGTTATGTGTCAGGATTGATCCCCTTTGAGCTAAGAACTCAAAGGAAGGGTGCATTGGCGTTCACTGCTTCATGAATTTTACTTTAAGTGACCTCCAAAGGCTTCTTTTAGAAAACAGGCAAGCTGAGCTGGGCTTTTTCTCTTCTTTACTCTGTGATTTTGCTGCTGCATACACTGGTTGCTTAAATACTCCAAGGCAATGCGTTTGCTGCGCTGTTCAGTCCATAGTGCCACTATCTGAGCAATTTTGCGTAACTGTCTGATGGACACCCAGGAGACACAGATCAATGATATTTAATTGAACGCTGTTTGTATCCATTTGGCTTGGTTAGCACATGCTAACCATACAGAGTCCCTTTGTCAACTGAAGAGATTTTGTCTCTGAGTCTACTTTGTAATAGAGCTTAAGTGGAAGTAGATTCGCAGGGTAGAGATTTCTTCGGGTCATCTCGTCCAACCTCCTGCTTAGAGCAGGCCCGGGTAGGCTGTGAAGGGCCTTGTCCACTCAAGCATCCCCGAGGATGGAGATGCCAGAGTCTCTCTGGGAAGCCTTTGCTAGTGTTTCACCACACTCAATAGGAAGATTTTTTTCATTGTATCTAACCGAAATTTCAGGCGTTCCCATCTTGTGTCCATTGCCCCTCTTCCTAACACTGCTCTTCCAAGCAATATCTGTTTCCATCTTCTCTGGACCCTCCCACGAAGACCGACAGCAATAAGATTTCTCCTGAGCTTTTTGTTCTTAAGGCTTAACAAACTCTCTTCTCTCAACCTTATGGTCATTTTATAATGGTATCTGAGACATTAAGGTTTCCATGGAGTTTTAGGCTGTAAAAATTTGTAATATTCTAGGCACCGCTGTGAGCAAGTTGCAAGTAAATTGCAATTAAGTTAGTTTAACATTGCAGTTAATGGCAGCCACTCCGTTTTAAAACTTCTTTAAAATATTGCCTTTTTATTAGGTTTGTCTCACTTATACTCCTTACGTTAAACATGTGGTAACACAAAAATGTATCTGCTATCTCTATAAAGTAATCCAAATTATGTACCCTCTATCCTAGAACTCGATTTGTGGATTTTTTTTTCTGTTAGGTTGGTGTCCCAGGTCTTATTTTCAGAAGTGATATTCTGCTGCATTTGATTTTCCAAATAGTTTGGAAAAGGAGCATTTATGAGTCTGTGTCTTCCTCCCAGCCTACCTGAGATAGGCTTGCTGAATTTAGTGGGAATTACTCCAGAGATGTTTGTTGCTAGCAATATGTGAATTCCCATGAAGAGATGTCATCTGCAAACTTTGTAAGTTTGTCTACCACAAGGAAAAAAAACTCTGGCATCTGACGGTCATTCCATCTATTTTTTTCATGTTTTTGAGAGTCGCATCTTGCACAGCAGGAGACAGGTAATGCTAACTAAAGGAACAGGAAATCCATGATCTGTTTTTGACAGATCATTCCCATTGGAAACTTCAACTCAGTAACCTTGAAATTCTACACCCAAAATTTATAGTGACTTTCCAGTAAAGAGAGCAGTGCCTGACGTTGGACAGGTCTGACATGCTCTAGAGAGAGACCCATGCTCTGTGAGAGCCGAAGGCTTTTATGGTGTTAGAGGCTATAAATATTTATTTATATAAATATGCTGGATGTTTCTTTGAATTACACCATCAAGTGCAGTCTCTCTAACACTCACTGCTAACCAAGTGTTCTTAATCCTGGCCCTAAGGTTTAGCTGGATCAGGAGCCCAGTTTAAGGCTGCTTTTTCTAACATCCAAGATCATAACTGAAAATTTTCATAATTTTCCATGAGTGCTGTTGAAGTACATAGGCAGTTATTCTCCCTGTTCCTGTAGTACCTTTGGGTTTATAAGGTAGCCATGACCTTAATTTTGTTTAAAAAAAGTGCCATTTTGATGGATATATCCCACAGGAAATTTTATGAGTCTCTAAGATGCAGTTTTGATTTTCATTAATGTGTGCGTTACGACGTGCTCTTTTCCTCTCCAGATCAAAGTTTTCCTTAATTCTAATTTACCCTTCTCTGAAGCGGGAAGGAGAAGCCAGTGTGGAAGGCGTTCTCAATCAGCTGGTCCTAGAGCATCTACAACTGGCTCCTCTCCAGTGGGGTGAGTAACATGAGAATCTATCAATGACCTTTATTTTCTTGCATTAATTGTTAATTTTTGGCAGTATTTCTTTCTGAATCGTATTCTTTGTAACACCACACCATCAAACCTCTGCAGTGTGCGTTGTATGAGAATGCTACATTTTTCATTTTCAAATAATTTTCAGTAAATCACACAAAAGGATTTGCAAGTATTTTTTTTTCCCTTCTGGCTATTTTTGCTGAAGACAAATGTAAAATAGAGTCTAGTGTATTTTAAGTGTCAGTGTTGAGTAACTGTGAGACCTGAGTACACACTTCTCCCTGTAATTTGTGGTCCTGGTGGTTTTGTCTGAGAGGTGGTTGCTGCTTAAACTTTACCTAATAGTGTATATTACAAAGTAATAACTTAAAAATATTTTTGTATGGAGTTATAATAAAGTTTGTGGTATATTTATTATCATAATCTAGGCATTTCCATTACTCTAGCTTTTCAAGCACAGAAAAGGTTATTACTTTGGGTAGTGGAGAAGAACAGCATCCCTTAATTGTGCATTCAGAATGATGTTCAAATTATGAAGTATTGAATTAATTTAATTCTGAAGAGTCATGAAAATATGACTTCTGTCTGAGGTTCTTAACAAGGTTTACATAGAGGTTTTGAAACGTGATTTTTTTCCCCCAACACTTCTACTGCAGTGACAGTTTACTGAAAAAATCTCTAGTTCATCAGAAAATTGTTTTTAAAGTTTTTTGTTTTTAAAGTTTATCTGGATACTCCTTGTTTTAGTGAATTGTGCAACCTAGAGAGGGCTGTTTTTAAGGATCACTGCTTCATCACTGTTGGCTGCGTTGACTGTTGGAGCTAAGGAGGCCTCAAAGGCTAAGCCCGCTCTCCAGTGTTTAAGCACTTTTTAAAACATTTTCTCTTTCAATGCTCTTTTATACAGACCATCCTTGACTGGTACATTAAAATTTGTAAGGTGAGAACATGAAAATAGATAACGCTTTTAAGGATTGTGCTATATACGTCAGACTCTAAAGGCAGATATTTCTCTCTCAAATTGTGCTTTTCTGGCCTCTGTTCTTAACTGATGCTAGACTCACAGGGATTTGGTAGCCTTGTGTTGTTTGCTGCAACATATATACAGTAAATCCTTATATTGATTACTTAGGGATGGGGACATTGTCAAGAAAGTAGGAGATGAGATTAAGAAAAAAGTGATTTTTGCAGGGGGGAAAGGTTTTGCAGCAGAAAGTACTGGCTTACCAGAAGTCTGCCTCATTTTCCTGTCTAATACTTTTTAAATCTGAAATCACTGTTGAACGTAGTGTCTATTTTGCAGAACACAAAAATTATGTCTAGGTTAGAAGTGTAACTCGCAGAGGAGATTATTGAAAAAGTTGTTTTGATTAAAAGTCCCATTCTTCTGGACAGCAGAAAGGAAAATGAAAATAAAAAGCAGTGGAGAGGTTTGATTTTATTTTTTTTTATTTTATTAAGTACAACTTCAGATATTTGGTAGTTAAATCTCTGTTTAATTGATTTTACTAGACTGTAGCTGGGTAACTCTGACTGCAGTTGCAATGTGATGGGTATTTTAGCCAGAAGGTATTTCCCATTCAGCTCATTTAGGCACAGTAAAGGACTTGGAGTTTGAGACATAATGTGAAATGTGAATTCACTGTCCCTGTGATATTCTTTTCCTGGAATTTGGAAATAATGGAAACAATATTTCCATTTTTGTGTGTTTATTAGAGATCTCAGCAACCCTGTAGGATTCAGCCCTGACATTGATGGTGTTCTACCCTGAGGTCCAGCAGGAAGAGAAAATTAGGAAAGCAAATCTGAAAGTTCTGTAAACATTACGGTTTCCCTGAGAAAAAAAAAAAAACACTATAATCTTAGCATATATAATGATTAAGGCATTTTTTCCTACCTCTCCCCCCTTTTTTGGTGTTACTGATTAAAAAAATAGCTTAAAAGTAATATGCTACTGTCAGCAAGTTGAGGTGCTACTTTCTCTTAGTCATAACGCTTCTTGTAATCACAACCTTGCTCAGCTTTGAGTTTTCTTTTTTAAGTAGGTAAGAATTGCTTGTATTTTAATTTTTATTAAGTGCTAGCCATCATTTTAATGCAATCTTGGCATATTTTGGCTGAGAAATGTTGCCTTAGTCTAATGCAGTAAAACTGATTCTATGATTATTCAAGATTTTTGCCATATTGATGGTTACATTCAAAGGTTTTCTGCATTATATATGCTTACAGCGAAACATGAATGAATATTTAATAGGATTTTGATTAAAAAAAGTCTGGCTGTTGTACAATCTGGAATGCAAAATTCCTTTTGAATTTGACTTATTTCATTCATACTAGTGCAATATTATACTTCTAAAGTAATAAAAACACGTTGAAGTAATTTTTCATGTAAATTTGACAATCCTGTCTTTCCATTAAATGCAAGGGAAGACTTTTAAAAATTAGTGGCACTAAAATGTTGGTCTGGGGGCTAGAAGTCAGCTTTAAAAATTGCTGTATGCAGGGAAAAAATGGCTTTTGGTGGGCAGTGTTTTTTTGTGTGTGTAATTTCGTATAGCGTAGATGACTGGGCAGGAAAAAATATTTAAAACATAAAAGATCATAGAAAAAGGAAAATATGTCGAAGGGCAGAATGAGAGTTCTTAATATGTTGTTAAAATTGATTTTAAGATTTAAGACACCTCTTTAAAATGGAGTTGTCTATTAGGGAGGTTATTAAATCATGTGTAATTGCAAAACATAATCCTGCTCAATACCAGCAAGTTCAACATACTCTAAAATTTATGACATATTTTCTTTTTACTGCTGGGCAACAAACCAAATGTAGGAATGGATGTGGTTTTAAGGTGACCGTGTTAACATCATCAAATCACAGAAACAGCCTGCAGAGTTTAATGGAGGGAACCAAGACTCTTTGAAGACATATGTTAATACAAGCCATGGGCTTGATTTGGAAATGGTCAGGTGGCAGCATTTGGAGTTGCTTGCACTGCAATATTTTTTCAATCTTTATTTGATTTATGTTGCTAAATTTTGCAAGCAAGCAGAATTTTGAGACCAAACACTTCTCAGGCCCATATTGCTCTTCTGCGTTTTGTAGCAAAATTATCTTAGGTACAACCAGTGTGAGTAAAATGTTGCTGATTGAACTCGAAATGTGTAGAATTGGGAATAGACTGTGGATTGGACTTGGAATAGGCTGGAACTGGGTTATTTCCACATTCAAATCTGAGAACTGCCTCTTAGGTGAGAGTTTCCCAACATTTTACATGCTGTATGTAGGAAGTCTTTTTAAATTTATTCTCCTTCATAAAACAGAAGAAACCTAACTTCCCTCATAGGTTACATCCTCCAGGGAAGGTTGGATACTTTGCTTTCCCTGATGGCCCTCATATGTAGAAGAGTGAGGTCATATTAAATAAATTTGATTTAGTAATTTGGAATTTTGGACAAATCCAGAAGTTCTTTTTTTTCCTTTTATTTCCATCATTCTTCATTCATTTCCATTATTCTTCATTCATTTCCATTATTCTTCATTCATTTCCATTATTCTTCATTCATTTCCATTATTCTTCATTCATTTCCATTATTCTTCATTCATTTCCATTATTCTTCATTCATTTCCATTATTCTTCATTCATTTCCATTATTCTTCATTCATTTCCATTATTCTTCATTCATTTCCATTATTCTTCACTTCTTCCTCTATAACATACGAATTTCAACACAATTCATAACATTTAAATTAGCCTGGATTACCTTTCCAAATGCAGAAAGTTTCATTTTCCACTATATGATTAAGCAGAAAGCTAACAATTCTGTTACTGAACGCTCTTCAGATCATAATTAAGGAGAGTGGTGCCAAACAGGCAACATCTTAATTATTTACTTCTAGGTAGCAAATGCTGCACATTTTCTTGTGACTTTTCACCATAAATTGGCAGCCTGTTTGCATCATGCAGGCATATACTGTATTTAGGGAAAACTTAGAACTGAAGGATGATTCAAAATTGTGCCTCATAAGTGGATGGCATCAGGAGAGGAGGTAGATTTACATGTAATTTGAAGTGTTTTATGAGTATACAGTCTCTTTTACGACAGCTTGCTTGAAAGTTCTGTCTGCGTAGGTAGTCTGACAAAACATCTCACAGAAGTATGACTTTTAAAATAAATCATCTTGTTACTATACCGTTTGTTTCAAAAAGCACCGTCAGGAACCCTTCTTAATGCACAGAGCTTATTTATTTTGTGGATCTTAAAATTAATTACTGCACCTACTCATCCATTTTATTTTGCATTTTCCATTCTGACCTCAGACCATGAGTAAATCTTCCTTTCCGTTGTTCTTGGAATTCACTTTTAGGGACTACGGTGGTGTCAAATCAAGAGTGTCCTGAATATAGAGGAAAATATCATAAAATGGCTGTCCAGGAGTAGCTGAGGAAAAGACACACCTCTAAGGCTGCAGAGGTACCATGTGGATGCCATCAGGACACAGGGACAGTTGATTGTCCTCATGGGGGTAGTTGAGAAGAGCCAGTTCTCTGCAGACGTGGTTGTTACCTTTCCTTGAAGGGTTTCACACGCAATGTTAAAAAATAGGTTTCTGCCCTTCAAGCACAATCACGAATGCCTTTCTGTTCATGAATCAAAGTAAAATATTCTTTAATAATGTATAGTTTTGAATAACACTAGACTGGCTATTATGATCAGTGCCAGGATGAAAGCAAGAGTGTTGGCCAGAAAAAAAATGCAGAGCAAGTTGTCCGTGATGTAGAGTGGCAGTCTGGTCCATACAGAGACTGAAACCGAGAAGGAGTCGTGTGGGAGATGAATTCTACTAGGTAACCAACCTTTCCCACCCATTTAGAAAAATCTTTAGCTCTTTTTGTTTTTATTTTTAAGCGCAAGAGAAGTGAGAAGGCTTTCATAGCCAAACAGCTTGTGTGCAGGCTGTTGGGGGATATTTTGGCAATGTC